TCAATATAGCAATGACCCGTGACAGTTGACTGAACTACAAATTATTGATATTTTGTTGAGTAATTGCCCGGGCAAACCCCCCACCCCTATTTTTTGGCAATTTTCCATGTTCAGGACCCTGGGCTTTTACCCGGATAAATACGGTAGCATCGTTCTAATTGCTGATGTTTTGAAAAATGGATAAATTGCTGAATAATAGTGTACAGCTATACAGTGAAGGTCAACAATCTGTGATCGTTTTGTAAATATACATTTATAAATCAAAACAGAAGTTAGAATTCAAATTGACCACACCAGAACTTGCATTGTTACAGTAGTTTGGAATAGTTATACAAACAATTATATGCTAATGAGTACAGGAGGAACACTGCATAAAAAACGTAAATTCGCAATTACCGAACGAATCAGACTACCGATGCAACAGAAAACGCCTAAAACGGACACCAGCGAAATCCAGAGCTACAGAACTGCAGCTACACTCAACTCTACTGCCATAGTTTGGTATCTGGTATAAAAAAAATAGGTTGTTACTAGAGTGTTTTCTAGGCTACCGTGGTATAAAACTTCAAAATAGAATATACTGTCGTTTGTTCATATTGCAATGCCCCCACCGACGGGCAAACATACCAAAAGTTGAGACATGATGTTTGAGGGCGCAATCACATTATATTTGCTGTACCAGTTTTCTTTTACTAGGTTCTCTCTCTCTCTTCAGCCAAGACCCCAAGTTGTGTTTCATTGCACTCCTTGGATGTATCTCATAATAATTTTGGCGAACGAAGAAATAGAACATCTGTATCTACATACATCGGTTTTATTCAAAATGTTCAGCGAATTGGAAGAAGAAAAAAACAACGCATATGTATACATGTATTATGATGTATACATGCCCACTGACAAATTTATTGAATTGACGAGACCTCAACTTGCATCATGAGAATTGGAAATTATTTTCAAAAGCACTGACAGTGGGTGTTTTGGGCAGCCTGTCTCGACGGTCTAATCCCAGCTCACATTCCCTGTTTCACTGTTTACGAGGAAGACAGTAACAGAGCGCCACCTACCGGCATAAATAAAAGTTGTCTTGAGCATGATGCAAACATGTTCTTCCACTTGGGGGCGTCTTCTATGTCGCGATATTGAACAGAATGTACATTGTACGTGATTCGACCACCAACAATATCTGTCCATCTATCAAACTGTGTACGATAAATCAGGTTTGAATATTAGTGTTTTAGAAAACCTGTGCACCGTTTCCAGCATTTAAAATTTGTCACTTTGCCCTAATCTCAAGTTCGTTAATGCATCACACAATAGAAAAAAGACGAATGTACACCATATGCCACAGATTATTTTTCATCCACCATTTGTAATTTATAAAAAGTTTACAAATTTTCAATAGAAATCGTTAATGGCTTGATAAAATTCAGTATATACACGTACCAGTGTTATAACAATATCTAACGTTTTTGACTGTCGGATATAATTTATTTGTATTATCTCGACCAAACAATGCATCTTATTGTAATAAGATTAACTACATTGAAAGTACAGTATTTAAAATGTATGTGCAGGCTCGTGGTTACACAGAGCCATGGGAAGTTTGATTGTACGTTTTTGCTATTTAGACAGTTTTGGTCACGTATTGCTGGAATTTTGGAACTTTGCCACTGATGGAACATACTTAAAAACCATGAATTAAATACAATGTAGCTCAAACATAGCACAGTTTTTGTCTTTTTGATTTGGAATGTTCATACTATATGTATAGGGTATATTTGTCTGTAAAAATATCCAGGTTGTTTTTATATCTAATAATAATTTATAATACTAATAATTGTTGAACATACAAATGTTTACAAACACTCTTGTACCTAAACTACAGTAAGTCTAATTGTGTGACATATTCTGGGAAGAGAACCCATCGCATTACCAACAATCCCACATGTACTTTTGTAGATAAACAAGATACCAATATAGTGTGAAAGTTTCACATTAAACTAAACAAAACTTTAGAAGTTATTTATGTTTGGACATTCAATAATTAAACATTAATTTTCATAATCACTCCAGTGGAAATTCCACATACAATGGCTATTACTATTTTGTAATATGTTATTTCAGGAAAATTACACGGAAATTTCAGAAACCAGAATTATTATTTTTAAATTGTTTATATACAGTCAATCAAATTATGCAGCACATTCAAAATATTTTTAGTTTTTTCTAGTTCATTGTGTTTGCAATACATGATGGATGTGAGTTCACACAAACCTGCATCTAAACCTTGGGTTGAAATGGAAGATATTTATTTTCCAAAAAAAAATATTTTGTTTTCTTTGACCAGTACGTCTATTTTAATATTGTTCCAGTTGAACTGTAAAAGGTTTTAGACATTTCACGTTGATAGATATTCCCCCACTAGTAAAAACAACACAGCAATGTATTCTGTCGTATTACCGTAGTAAATTTACACTACAGTGTTTTTTTTTTAAAAAATATTAAGAATTTATTTATAATTATTTTGTAAACATTTCGGATAAAACGCGTGTGAGACATAAAGCCACATATATTTTCCACACCAATGCAAATTTATTCCTAGCCTCAACTTCTCCGTGCACAAAAATGTGATTCAACCATTTCTAGTAGTGACTTGTTATCGATTTTATATCTCAATAATTAGTTATTATGATACCAATGCTTTATTTCCAAATCGAAATCGAAATAACTGTACCTGTTGTTCATGAATGACAGTCAATTATGCAAATGAGTGAGAATACGTCACGATGTCTTGAATACGCAAATATATGCATGGATTAAACAGGATATATAAACCCTAATCCTCAGATTTATTAAACTCGTGTAGTAATTTTGATTTCTTCCTCCATAAGACCAAAGCTTGAAAACAAATAAAATAAAATACACTTATATATATATGCTTTTAATCTATTTAAATGATTAATCATAATATCAATAGTAATATATCAATAAAACTGGACGTGTCATAACTAATTGTGTCACATATGATATACTTTATTTTAAGGCAAATAAATGAAATTACAAATAATAAACGCGAATAGAAATTTTACAGAATACGAATATATAAGAAAATCACCACTAAAACGTGATATACATATATAACACGTAACTCGTGTGGGTATGTTTAAAACAGTGTGGCAATCAAACATTATTATAATGATGAGTGTCACCAAACACAATGGAATACAAATATTTTGGATAAGTATTCTAAAATATATGATTCTATATTATGGAATTAAAAATTTTGTTTTCCACCATTAACATTTCTACTAAACGCAAATCAACCCGCTGAAATATTCACTACATAAAAATACTAAGAATTGTTTACATCATTTGCATAGAAAATCTGATAACCGAATTACGGTTGACATCTAAACAGTAGTAAATAAGTTTTAAATAAAATTAACTACCCAGAATTGAATTATTGATACACATAGTATATAAATGTCAATCGTTTAAGCTTTTCTAGGTCTACCACACACACATGCTGTAGGTAAATCAATCTGTACCGCGTTGTACTGATACATGCCGTTGACACAAGAACTATAGTTTATCTGTAAAACCCATACACTGGATAAGACACGCTCACACTCCCATACCGCGTGCAAACCATTGGGTGGTAATTCTGTGATGCAGTTGTCGCAGTCATAGCAACGAGCCTCCAGTAAAGTTTGTGGATAACGAGTGTAATCTGTGTTCTCTACATTATACCATGGACACGTTGATCTCACGGACTGTGGAGCGCCAGCACCGTATAATATCGGACAGGAAGTATTTGAAGGTGTGCTCTGTGACCCAGTAGGAATCCCGAGACTGAGAGCGTTCGGTGAATATCCACCCAACATTTGACGAAGTTCAGTCTCATTGAGCTCCGAACAGATTGGATTTCCGTTGATGGAAACAAATATTAGAAAAAAAACGAATTGCTGAAACTAAATGCAAACGAGAAACATTAGAATTCACTCGGTTGAAATTAAAAACTTGAAGAAAACAACAACATATTATAGTATATAATATAAATAAACATCCAGATAATGTATTGACTGTAGCTGTTATAGTTACTCTAACGATAACGATTACAACGAGGATTGATTCACATATTTGCGGTAATCACTTTTTGTTGACGTCAAAATAATATCACTGGATTATATATTATTATTCCTGGTGACGTAAATGACAGACATTTAGTTGACAAGGAAGTGTACCACAATGTTAAGTATTTGACAGTCAGTTTTTGATGATTTCAAGCCAATACGTGTGGTAAAAAAAAATGGTTTCAAAGCGCGGTGGTCGTCGCGCAGCGCGTGTTCGAATTTCACGTAAATAAACAATGTATTTTACACGCGTTGTGTACGTCGCTATGAGTCTCATATCGAACAGGACGCGGCACGACGACTGCCGCCCTTTAAATATTAGTCAGTGATTTTATATTAAAGTAACTAACAGTCTTAATTGAGCATTGTGAAAATGAACTTACGTTTGAGAGATTATATAAAACAACATTAGTACTCACCATAATTTTAGAGAAGAATCCCATATTGTCTAATGTTACTGGCGAAGTTACTGACTGAATCTTTGGATCTCGCTGATACGGGCAACTTCAAGTATAACGTCTCTTCAATCTGTGTTTTGTGCTTTATATCTGGTCTTTTATATTATAGCAATTTAGGAAATTTTCAGAGCTCTAAAAACTGAAGAATGATTTCATGTATTGGATATTGCAGGGGAAGTCCTTTGATTTTTTAACTTGGACGTACCAAGCTGTGCACATTACCCTTATTAGATTAAGGTCAGTGCGTGATGACCTGTAGTCACGTGATTTGAAGCCATGCTATACTTCATAGTGTTAACAATATTACATAAATACTGGCAGTCATAGATAGTTTAGTTTGATATGCATCTACCATTTGTACGTATTGTGCAGTCAGTTGCTATAGAATTGCCAGTATTAGAAAACTAACTCACCAATCCTTTCTGACCTGGATGTTAAAAGATTAAATAGAATCGTACTCGCTGTCCCCGTAGCACATCACTACTATTATAACACACGAGTTATACAAGAAATGATAAAACACAACATATTATTCGTCGACGCATTATTTATTTCAAACATGGAAATATTATTTTTGTTCACACTTACATTTTTGTTTGACTTGAAAACCCATCGACGCATAAAATTAACAGTTGATCTAATATATATTTCATAGGTGGGTTAAGGTGGTTCCGTGGCAGCTATTTATACACAAAGCAGAGCTTTAATGTTACCATGCTGTTATTGCCACTTTTCATCTGCAGCAGAAACAGGAACAGAAATTGACGATCGGAAGAGACATATGCAGGATGTTCGTCGTTATCGTACTGAATTTTAAAAACATGTATAGAAATAAGGTACTAACGGTACACACGCACGGCGAGTTCATATCTCTGAATCCACCACTCAAAAGGTATCCACTATAATGAAAGTATATGTGAGTGTCGAGATTTACCAGATTTCTAACTTTTCATTTAAGCCGCGATAATTCATCAAAAATGACGTATAAATTAAAAACCAACACTCCATCATTTTAAATCTAAAACACCCAGTCTAACTCTTCTTTAAAGGCCATTGATTTTTTTTAATAATAACATTTAACTATCTTGCCGTACCAAGTACCAATGTCATCGTACTTTGACCGTATTGTGAGTTGAGTTGAAGATCGCTTATACGACTTAATTAAGCCATGATTTCCCTAATAAAAGACATTTTTGCCAGATAGACACATTGTTTCAAATTTAGCCGAAGGGAATCACCCCAATTTAGCAAATGCGAATAACGTCGTGCTATATACATATTGGACACAGAGTTTTCCTAATCACAAAATACTTCCAATATGTAAAGAGGAATTGTGTACAGTGGTACAATTCAATGCGTGATTGCGTTATATTTACAAAACACAGTCGACATTTTAAATATGATATTGTAAAATTGAAAAAAATCGAATTAAGCAACATAGCTTTCTTGTTAGTTGCTATCCTTGAAGTTAGCAGCTTGCTCCTATCCTACTTGTCATCTTTTCTTTGTTTGTTTTTGGTTGGTGCCTTCTCTTTTCTTTTATTTTACTTTGCCCCAGTAATGAAAATGAAATGTAATAGAATGACTGTACCACGGGAATTGGAAATGCTATATGTAAATGAATCCGTCCTTTAAAATGTTATCACTAAATGTATAAAGTGTCATGAATTTGTTTTTGCGTATCTGTTGACCGACTGCGTCTTACGCACATTGACATCCTGTGAAGAAAAGTGAAATGACGAAGGTGTGTCTTTCTTGCGAACCGAACTAACTGACTAACGATGGCAGAGACGAAACCGCGCTTGACGACTAACACCGTTAACAGTATGGCACCGATGTACAACGCTGAAGAGATGAAGACTTCGAAGCCCCTTCGGAAGGAACAGTATCGAATAGGACTGAATAATTAAGAATTGAGCGACATTAAAGACAAGAAGATGAAAGAACGACCCCAGACTAACGCGACGAAAGAAGAAGACGCTATATAGACTTTGAATTTGTATAGAGAACCGCTCACTGGACACTGTAACGGCACTGTAACTCAAGGACGTTGAACTCTTTTCACAATCCCAACACTATTGCTCAGTAATGTAATGTATTGCTTGCCTTTACTATTGTTTTTACTGTTTTTTTGTGATATCGAATTGTATGTTATGTAAGCGCCCAGATCTTTGTTTTGAACTGATATTTAGTGACGTGCGCGGTCCTTTATAACGATTTAAGCGCGCCTCAGTGGACAAGTATTAGCAACACAGTGTTTTGAGTTTTGTGAAGTTTTATGGTGTTTTAATGAGTTTATGAGTACGGAATATGATGGGGAAAGTAATGCCCCAATGAGTTTTTAAGAGTTTTGAGATTTGTCGAGTACAGAGAAATCGACGTTTTAAAAGTTGTTGATGTTTATGTGTTGTTTTCCGGAATACTTCTGACGCTTTTTGAGTTGATAGCACTTTTGTAACGTTTTTTATATCTTTTTGGAATGAGAGGTGGTGCGCTTATATACGTATTGTTTGATAACGCAAGCTTTTGTTCATGATTGACAGGTTTATATGTAACTCAGTAGTTTCGATCGTTTTGCCTTTCCCGTCTTTTTTGCCAGAGGACTAATGTGTTATGATAGCTTTGTCTTTGCATTCCGTTTCCACGCCGTATGACTTGTGTTTAGATTAACGACTTATGAGTTCAGTTGAAGTTTATAAGCGTATATGAAAGGAGTTTGATTAATAGCTTTTTATTCATTGTTTATTAGTTACCGCTTTGCAATGCTTTAACCGAGAGACGCATCCCTGGTAATCACGTGACCATGCTGTCGACTGCAGCGATTGGCTGATCGCTTGGTTACACCGCCACGCCTTAGTTTTTTTTGACCTTTTGATATAGAGTTTGTAACCTTAGTAACGAGAGACAGTGCAGCGAAGGGTTACCTCAGTGAACCGTTTTAAAAAAAGCGGGCCTATTGGTAGCCTTTCCCTTGTTTTTTTATTTACAACCGTTGATATTTGTGACTTTATAACCATTGTATTTAGACTTATAATCAGTTTATTAATCAGTGTGTTTTACTCTTTTGATTTATACCTTTTATTAGTATTGTATTTAACCCATATGACGATGAGTAGATGACGGTATTTTTCCATTTATGAACGTGCAATTCCAGGAGGCATAGCTCAGTTTGAGTGAAGGGATGTGTCATGAATTTGTTTTTGCGTATCTGTTGACCGACTTAATTAGCTGATTATTAGCGAATTGCTGTGTTATGTCTGTGATAGGTATTTTTGATGGTTAAAAACCTTTCACTTAGGTAACCGGGATTCGGTCGTTTTCCACGCTAGACTCACAAAAAACACACACAAGCTCCATTCATGTTCAAAACGATTCTCTGCCAAGTCCCTGGTTTTCACCGGAGACAGCATTAAATCACTCTTTATTTCTTGTCACTCCTTAACCAATTACAATCAGTATAAGAGACTCCAAGGCCTTGCCTTCAAACAAACAACCAATCCCATGAAAGTTTTACACATCATAATCAATTGATTAATCGTCAAGCTATTTAGCAAACCCACTACTATATGTCAACACTAACTAATATTTATGGGGTAATAGTCTTGCACTAACATTCCACAAAGATACCACATTTGTTAGAATCGCAAACAAGATTGGTTTAGGATTATAGCTACTGTACTGTAATCTTAAAAAACTGCAGACTCATAAGATGTTTTTGGCTGATTTCGACTAGCTCGCCATCTGGCCTTGTCATTAACCTTTATCAGTAGATGTCATGGCAACCACTGTCAAACTGACTGACCTCGTCATTTAATCTCTATCAGTAGATGCCATGGCAACCACCGTTAGGCTGAAATATAAATCATGACATGTCTGTCATCGTTTAGGCCTATTTGAAGTTTTGGACGGAAATTGGCTCATTGATTTGGAACTAATTACGAGATAGCCGTCGCTATTCTGACTACGATTTCTGACAGTTGGTATCCGTAGTTATTAATGTAGTGAACGATTAATCAAAAGATATGACGTATTCAGTACTTAGTGTGATTGGTTTTATGATTGAATGTTACGCCCTAGAGTCTTTTTACTGTTTGGTAATTGGTTAGAGTTTTGAAAATGAATAAAGTTGTTTTTAGTTGGTCTTGACGAGTACACCACGAGAGACGCAGTCTAAGTCGAGTCCTGGAGAGACTTGGGGCGAGTCTTGACATAGTCTTGGGCTAGTCTTGGGTCAGCCTTGCGATAGTCTTGGGGACTTTTCCCCAGGGCGCTGTGTCTTATAGAGTGCTCGAA